CCCCACCCCCCCCAGGTCCGCCCACCTTTTTTGACGGCACATTCCAGCGGTCTAGGCATCTAAGGCTAGAGAATATTACAACTAAGCCTAATGTGCCACAAAATGAAAGAAATAAAGTGAAAGAAAAAATGATGAAGAGGAATGGAGAGAAACTGGAAAAGAGACAGAACATGGAGGAGTATTTTAAAAAGCWGGATTGAGAGKACATGAAAGAAGGGGGAAAGGGTGAAAAAAACAGTTTTTTTGTTGCATGACAGAATCCCTCCCAGCCAACCAAGGCTTGTCCTTTAATACCAAGAAGCCTTCATGTGGCTTCTCAATGATTGGACATGAGGTACAGCTAACCACATTTATGCCATGCTACTTATTATACTGCATTGCTCACACTCTGCATGTGTGCTGGCACATGTGTGTGTATGTGTGTTATAGGGTGCCCATTTACAGTAAACGTGCACACATGTGCTCGGGAGCAGGCAGAGAAGAGCACAATGAGAGTTCAACCTTTTAATTTATCATCATGCTGGTGATTGACGGGTGACAGGAAAACCCATGGGAAGCAACTAAAATGTATGGGAAACAAGTTGATTCAAGTGCTTAAAAAAGCTCCAATTATGACACTGGTTTAAATGTTAAAAAAATAATTATTGTTACTTTAACCTTGAAATGTCTAGCCACAAATAAAAGTTTAAGAAACATAGTTTTTTTTTGATAACTCATCAGTCTCATTGTTACCAAAAGTTTAGTTCTGCGCAATATCTGTAAAGCCAACTTAAGTTGCCAAGAATTAAGAATTGTACCATTTATAAAAGTTACATAAAAATCCAATTTAAAATGTTTTTAGCATATTTGACTCATGCGCTTGTCATACACACAAATGTATCCTCACATAACACTATGTCCCATGGATTTCCATCACTGTCACAGTCAAGAACAAAAAGATGAATGAGAAAAAAATGAGTGTTTAAGACTGTGAGACTGAGAAAAAAAAGGAATAAAAAACACATGTTTTCCTTTTAACTGACCACAAACACTTCCTCTTTAGGGTTTTTTTTTTTTTTTTTTTTGTCTGAGGACTGCTTTTCGTACACATAAACATAAAGACATAAAATGTGCACTTTCTGTCTTCCTGCCATGATGAAACTCTCTTTAGCAACACTTGAGAATGTTGGGCCATAAATCAAAATGTTTGAATTAAGTGGCAAAGCCGTTTATATTACAACAGCCTYATATTTCACAGCTGTAAAAACTGAATTATGTCCTAAAACTGATACACCACAGGCCACTTTATCTGGATTTTGCTTCCCTCTGCTGTTCATCAGTCAAGCCAAATGACTCATGACTAAACCAATATTTGATATTTAGATGACAAAGCATTACAGTTAAATGATAAAAAATGTTTAATCTTCTTCAAAAATAATTTTGATAAACATTTTTTACAATTTTGCTTGATTTTGGAATTAATTGATTAATAATATTTGCTATTTTCCATAGGTTTGTTGGCATCATGTCCTAATGCTATAAAAGACACTTTTAAACTGTGGTGAGTCAGTACCCTGCCCAGAACTTCTAAATATAGGCCACACAAACAAACATACAACATGTGCACGTGCCCACACGCACAGTAAATTGCTTAGCATAGTTACACCGTCTGTGTCAAATGGTCAATTATTGTCAACCAAAACGGGCTTGATGTGTTTGTGTCAATATGCGTGTGAATGCACGTGCGTCCGGACAGGAAGTGGTGGTGACTGGTTTGAGGTCAGTGGCAGGAAAGAATGGGAACTATGCTGCTGCTGGGACGGTGGCTGGTCACAGCACAAGCTCGGGGTTTCCGGACATGCTGCAGCCTCAAACCACATCACTCAATCACTCCTTCCATTCATCCTTACCTGGTGCAGCTGYCAGTCATCATTTGACTATCACTGACCATGGAATTTATCACACTTTAAAACATTTTCTCCCATACCAAAACATCCAAATTCTTGCAGTGACCTTATATAAAAGCCTTCCTTTTTACATGTTGCCCCACCCTTCTCTTTAAACATTAAACACTGCACAATATTGTGACCACAGGAACTCAAGCGTCATGCTTCTGTGCTGTTTACTGAACTGAGGCATACCACTATTCTGACTACACAACCTTTTTAGTTTCTTTTTTTACAAAAAAAAAAGAAAGAAAGAAAGATGTTAACATATTGTTCAAAAATCATAAAAATGTAATCGAAAGCTAAAAAGTAAATATACATATTCTGAGTGTCATCGCCACTGCCACAGGTCCATTGCTTAATTTTTTTTTCACATGACATTTGACCAACAAAAATAAAATAAAATTTAGATCTGCAAGTGATAAAATACAAGCATTATACAGTCTTCACATATTGGTAGTGCTAGTAAATTTTATAGCATGACTTTTTAAGATGTAGTTTTAGGTCACCAAAACTAGAAAATAAGGTCAAAATAGAGGGGTTTTAATCAGTACCATATTACTACCAGCAGATGGCAGTCTTGCTAAAGCAATGTGTTTAGATGTAAACTGCTGATGCAGAGCAGAGAAATTCGATCAGCAATAATATTCAGCGCACGTAAAATTAAAGGAATCAATCAGGGCTTGAAAGGTTTACATTTTTTTTATCATCATGTACTTAATTCCCTGCAATTTTTTCAATCAAATACCATTGTTACTGGGGGATTTTTTGCACAAACATAAAGTTATAATAGGCTATAAAATTGTGTGAATTCTCTGTGATAAAATGTAAATGCATTTAATCTTTGTAATGGTTGGTCTAGATTAATATAAAACCAAAAACGAGTGGTTTAATATCATTTATTTAAGCACAAGTTTAGACTGAGCAGTCTGAATAAAGCTCTGCCCTTGTGCGGGAGTGCGCATGCGCATTGCCAGCTCAGCTGACAGCGGTCAGATGACGATGGCTGACTCTGGAAGTAGCAAAGAAGTAGCCGTGATTTGCAACACCGACATAACTTCAACGGAATCAGAGAACAACATCATAAACACGGTCGTGCTTTTTCTTATTCGTCACAGCAAGCGTCTTTGAACTCTAAAAAAAGCCTTATTTTCGCTTGAGACACCCTTCCGTACGGTCTAAGTTAGCTAGCAATAGCAACAAAACATTTTCCACAAGTTTTTTTCAAAGGGAATTTGCAGCTTTATTTAAGTTTAGTAGCTTCTTCTGTAAATTCATCTTGTAGTTTTGATGTGCAAAATTGAAGTTTGCAAAATAGGCCAAAATTGCTTTCGCTTACGGTCGTTTCAAACTTTGTAAAACTTTACATTTGCTGTTAGCRTGCTAGTTAGCAAGTCAAACACTAATTTGTTTACGATGAATGAACCTCATTCATCTTAACGGGTCACGTGACCCACCTCCACTTACATGTTATCTCCCACAGTGTTACGTTGAAGTTTGTGCGAATTGTGTTGCAGAGTTTGAGTTGAGGTTATCTGTGCCTTAAATGTTTAAATAATAGTATAATAATATTCTAATCAATTTGCAACTTAGATTCTTATATTTCCACTTCTTTCTCATGTCTGCAGATGGTGGAAAGAGGTACTGCCCTGCTGAGAAAAATGGAAATAAGCGTAGGAGAGGCAGATAAAAGGACAGGGAAAAACWCAGTTAATATGCAGGAAACCTACACTGTCTACCTCATTGAAATACGGTGGGTATACCTGAATATCCGCTAGTATTTTATGTAATTTTTCAACCGGTTGTTGAAACTGATTGCAGGTGGCTTTTACATTTGATAACATTTGTCTTTTTTTATCTGAAGGCCAGCTGAATCTGTCCCTGAAGGAGGTACGCCGGCTGCACCAGACACTTTGTGGAGGCGCTACAGTGAGTTTGAGCTGCTCAGAACATACCTCYTGGTTACCTATCCCTACATCATCATTCCTCCACTGCCAGAGAAGAGAGTGAGTGACACATTAGCCCCTCCGATGGAAGATTTTCAGCCTTCCCTTTTACAACAACTAACTGTTTTTTGTTTGTTTGTTTTGTCTTTTGCAGGCTGAGTTTGTGTGGCACAAGCTTTCTGCAGACAACCTTGATCCAGATTTTGTGGAGCGACGGAGAGTTGGTCTGGAAAACTTCCTGCTGCGTGTTGCATCACATCCTGTCTTGTCCAACGACAACATTTTCTTCCTCTTTCTTACAGAGGTTAGCAACTTAGCAAAGAGCTTATAGCGTCCTGTGTTTAAGGACTTGCCTGTCCATAGTTTAGGATAATAAACAGTTGTTAATTATATTGAAAAATATTAAGTTGCAGCTGTGTTTGTGTGCGCTAATGAATGCACCAACATGTAGAGGGGTCTATCTTATTCTGAATCATCTGAGATAAATCTTCTCTAGAAATGCACCTAATTTAGAGTCATTTTACTGTTTAAATGAGGCTATGTAGAAATGCAAATGATGTAGCCTATCTGCCTATTGTCTGAAGGTGTGTAGTTCATTCAGATCAGTCAGGTGTTTTCAGGTTTCTTGGGTCAGCTGCAGAGGGACCTGGGGAGCAAAGGCAGAAGCTATGAATTATTAATATAACCTGGATAGAGGTTGTTTTCCTGCATTCATTTTCTACCTTGCCTTTCTGTGAAATCCATGTAAAAATTGTTTTTCTTGTTAACTTCCTGACAAAAATAGCATCTTGATACAAGCATCAGTAGACTGAACTTCTGATATGTATATGTGTATATACATATTAGTGTGTGGATGTATACTGCGGGTAGAACAAATATTGAACATGTCACCATTTTTTTCAGTAAATATATTGCTAGAGGTGCTAATGACATGAAATTTTCACCAGATGTTGGTAACAACCCAAGTGATCCATACATACAAAGAAATCAAACCATAAATGTCCAGAAATGAAGTTATTTGTAATAATGTGGAATGGCACAGGGAAAAAGTATTGAACACACTTACTGAAATTTATCTAATACTTTGTACAAAAGCCTTTGTTGTCAATGACAGCTTCAAGACGCCTCCTGTATGGAGAAACTAGTGGCATGCAYTGCTCAGGTGTGATTTTGGCCCATTCTTCCACAAACAGTCTTCAAATCTTGAAGGTTTCGTGGACCTCTTCTATGAACTCTGATCTTTAGTTCTTTCCATAGATTTTCTGTTGGATTCAGGTCAGGTGATTGGCTGGGCCATTCCAGCAGCTTTAGTTTCTTTCTCTGAAACCAACTGAGAGTTTCCTTGGCTTTGTGTTTGGGCTCATTGTCTTGCTGAAATGTCCAGCCACGTTTCATCTTCATCATCCTGGTAGATGGAAGCAGATTTTTATCAAGAATGTCTCTGCACATTTTTCCACTCATCCTTCCTTCAATTATTTGAAGTTTGCCAGTACCATATGCTGAAAAACAGCCCCACACCATGATGTTCCCACCTCCAAACTTCACTGTTGGTATGGTGTTTTTGGACTGATGTGCAGTGCCATTTGACCTCCAAACATGATGTGTATTCTGGCGTCCAAACAGTTCAATGTTGGTCTCATCTGACCAGACTATATTCTCCCAGTATTACACAGGCTTGTTTAAATGTTGTGCAGCAAACTTTAAAGGAGCTTCAACATGCTGTTTCTTCAGCAGTGGAGTCTTGCATGGTGAGCGTGCATACAGGCCATGGTGGTTCAGTGCATTACTTATTGTTTTCTTTGAAACAATCATACCTGCTAATTCCAGGTCTTTCTGAAGCTCTCCACAAGTGGTCCTTGGCTCTTGGACAACTCTTCTGATAATTCTTTTCACTCCTCTGTCAGAAATCTTGTGAGGAGCACCTGGTTGTGGTCGGTTTATGGTGAAATAATGTTCTTTCCACTTCTGAATTATGGCCCCAACAGTGCTCACTGGAACCTTCAGAAGTTTAGACATTTTTCTGTAACCGATGCCATCATTATGCTTTGCAACAATAAGGTTGTGAAGGTCTTGAGAGAGCTCTTTACTTTTACCCATCATCAGATGGTTCTTGTGTGATACCTGGCCATCATTTGGGACTGAACCAGMTGATATTAACTTGCACTGACAAGGGGCAGGCTTGCTTTCTAATTACTGAGAGAGTTCAGCTGGTGTCTTGGCTTTCCATGCCTTTTTACACCTCCCTTTCTTCATGTGTTCAATACTTTTTCCCTGTGCCATTCCACATTATTAGAAATAACTTCATTTCTGGACATTTATGGTTTGATTTCTTTGTATGTATGGATCACTTGGGTTGTTACCGACATCTGGTGAAAATTTCATGTCATTAGCACCTCTAGTAATATATTTACTGAGAAAAATGGTGATGTGTTCAATACTTATTTTTATTTATTTATTTGTGGCTATATATAAAGACCATGTTTCACTCTTTATGGTTTACATCCCTCTTGTGTCATGTGTTTGTTAAATATCTTTAGGAAAAGGGATGGAGGGACGCAGTCCTAGAGACAGGTTTCCAAGATAAGGTAGGATTATGTTTTTATTTCTTTCACTGTTAAATATGTTATAAATGCTAATCAAATCATCTTTTTACTGTTGAAAATTATTAGTTATATTGTTATTATTTATTATAATTCAACTATATATTTACAGATTTTTTTCCCTTTTTTAAATTTTTTAACGTATTTTCGTTTCCCACAAGGTGGACTCCAGATTAAARTCTTTGAGTGCCATGTTACGAGTCAAGAACCCAGACAAGTACGTGTAACTAATAAAATATTCACACTGACTGGAAAGAAATAAAAACAAATGTTTGATTTCTAAAAGATAAAGCAGCTCTGGGAAATGTGCAAGTTGAAATCAACATGATGGTCATGAAAATCAAAGGAACTACATAGAAAAAAAAAGATTTGAAAATATTGCTTCTTTGTTGTCCATCAGGAGATTCACGGCACTGAAACACTACAGTGATGATCTGAACACTGTCGTCTCTCAGTTACTCAGAGTGAGAGCGGTAAGTTTGGACTCATGAGAGCAGAGAAATTTATATTTAAAGTTACTTTCTATCATTTGTTTCTGGTGACACGTCTCACCCTGTTTACATAAATAGTCTCTGTCTCTAGCTGTTTATGCCTTTAAACTGGATGGAGACTATTTAATCTGGCAACTTGACTATAGCCTAAGTTGTTCACAATGTTCTTCTGAATAAAATTTAGAAAGCTCTTAGCCATAATGAAAATACCTAATGACTTTGGGCAGCTTTAAATTGTGTTGCACTTTAAGAAAATCGTTGCTACTGATTGATATTTTGTTATTTCAGCGAGTGGCAGACAGACTGTATGGGGTTTACAAAGTCCATGGTAACTACGGCAGAGTATTCAGGTAAAAAAAACTAACTTAAAAAAACTGTTTATTGTAATATTTTTGCTTTGGTCCACTCATATTAAAAACAAAATAATACACTATGCTTAAATGAAATAAACCTTTTAAGTTATGACTGAGAAAATAAATAATTTCATGATTACTAAAACCCATGGAATCAAAAAGGATTTGGTTTGGAACTGAACAGAAAGAATATTTGAGTTTAAGTTAATGAAATGATGAAATTCTGACATCTTCAGTGAATGGAGTGCAATAGAAAAGGAAATGGGAGACGGGCTGCAGAGCGCTGGCCACCACATGGACACGTAAGTCATAAACTTTAAGTATCTCCTTATCGGTGCAGCGTCTCTTACACATAAACCTTAGCTTTTGCCTGGTTGTGGAGTTTGGTTTGTCATTTTCTCACCCATAGAAATATTACATTTACGTCCAGGTACGCTGCATCGATAGATGATATTCTTGAAGAAGAAGAGCACTATGCAGACCAGCTGAAAGAATACCTTTTCTACACTGATTCTGTCAGGTAAAGTCGATTAAAAGGAGGAAACAAACGTACATAATAAAAATATGTTGTTTAAATGTGTGTATTAGAATTTTGATATTAAAAATGCATCATAATTGCTTTTAAGCTCAGATATAAGCTGCTGTTTTTTTATTTTTTTTATTTTTATTTTTTGCTTGTTTGCCTTTTTTTAATTGTGGATGTTTAAAATAAAATAAGGGTATGGAGTGCCAACATGTGGCATATGTCTAAAATCTTTATATGATAAATAAATACATTTGTCAAATGGCTTAATAACTTAAATAAAATAGTAATCTAACCATACCTTAATTGACTGCAATCCTTATAAATGACCCATCTGTCCTCCTGCCTGTCAATGATTTCAGATATCACTTATTCATTTTCTGAAGGGTAAAACAAGTTAAAACATTGTTGTCTTATGAAATAGTTGGGTTTAGTTTAGTCAGTATCCTTAACTCGTATGCAGTTCTATTGTTCAGCATAATTTGATGACGTTTTGTCAATTTGTATGAAGGTCGGTGTGTCGGAAGCATGAGTTGATCCAGTATGAGCTGGAGATGGCAGCTCAGGACCTCGCCTACAAAAAACAACAGAAAGAAGAGCTGGCAACCGGGGTAACACACATTACTGCTACACACATTTCTACACCCTTTAACCAAATATATAAATAATGCTAAACTTATTTTGTGCTCAGTTTTGAAAATCATGATTAGATTTGTTATTTTGTGTTTTGTTTTTGTGTTGAACGCAGGCTGTGCGGATCTTTTCTCTAAAGGGAATGACCAGTAAGTTATTTGGCCAAGAGAGCCAGGAGCAGAGGGAGAGCAAGATGGCAGCTCTGGAACAGAGCATCCAAGAAGGAGAGGAAGTCATCAAGGAGAAGAACGCAGAGTGCCAGTAAGGCCGACACTAGTTATAATCCGTCCGCCTTTTAAGTTCCTGTTCTTCAAATTTCTTCCTCTGTTTTACTTCTGCCTGAAAATGCCACGGATAATCTTTCAAAATCTAGTTTTGATTGAGTAGGATCATCCTGAAAGGACAACTTTTCAATAAAGATAATGTTAAACTGGCCTGGATCCTCAATTTTTTCTCAGCTTTGATAAAAGGGTGTGATCCCACTGGATTATTAGAAAGTATTTATCCTTTAGGATTGTTGATCCAGCTAACTCTTTGCCATCGCACCTCAGGAGTTCATTCCTGACAAACCAACCAGGATGGAAGCTGCTCCAGTTGCACGTACAGCTCTGATGTCGCACAGCAACCCGTCTGTTCAGTTCTTTTATAAACAAAAGCCACCTGAGTCAACATAAAACAAAACAATAATTAACTAAATAGAAGCACACACAGTGTGTCATTGTTCTAGTTTCCCCTTCCCCTGTCTTGTCCTTAGTTTATTATTTTTTTTAATTTGCAATAAAACTAATAATTTGATGTCTTTGTGTCTTTAGAGAATTTGTGAAAAAAGCATGGAACGACATCGAGCGTTTTAAGGAGCAGAAGGATAAAGATTTACGTGAAGCGCTAATCAGCTATGCTATTATGCAGATTAGCATGTGTAAAAAGGTGAGGGCTTCCTTTTGTAGACGGTGTGTTTATGTCAAATACCAGTCATTTATCATTTAGTCATTTGGTTTCTTAAGTTTCACTCATGAGCTGTTATAGAAAGTCTGACACACCTTCAGTTTATCTCACATGTTCTGCCGCTTGTTTGTCTTTCCAGGGAATCCAGGTGTGGTCCAATGCCAAAGAGTGTTTCAACAAAATGTGAGCCACTTTAGGTACCAATCACACTCCTCATCAAAGCCGGCAGTCTTTCAGATTCTACAGACTGGGACCATCAGCTGCTTGTTGTACTGCAGTCATGTGGAGAAAGGCTGGGAGCCAAAATACTGCCCCCAGTTTGCTTACGGTGACAATAATCCTGCCAACATTTCTTTGTATTTCCTTTTCCTCACCTATTCATTTATTTAAAAAAACAGCCAAAGTGATTAACTCCATGCTTTATTGATTATTTTTAATTGGAGTGGTCCAAGTGTGGGACTTTGAAATTCTCCTGATGTACTGCTGACAAACCAAACTTTAAGTTCTGGTGTTTAGCAGCACAGTGAAATTACAACGCATGACTAATTTTGAAGAATAAGATATAAACTTACAGTTTAATGACTAATCATGAGAAGCTGCATGTTGATGAAGCAACCTTAGACAAACTATAAAACATGCAGTTGTTTGCTGATTGTGGGTGGATGCACTCTCAGTATGACTAAGCAGCATTAAGTTTGTATTTGGGATTGCTTAGGTTTGCTCTGAAACTGAAGTGATAAAAATGTTTGATTTTCCTCCAAAATCCTACAAAAATGGCTAAACAATACATTAAATGTAACATGATGTAATAGAAATTGGACCTTTTTACAGAACTTCATCTTTAAAAACCACTACACTACATTTTTAAAATAACTTTTTTTCTTTTTCATACATCATTTTGAAAGCTGACGAGTGATTTTTATGGTACAGATCACAATCAAGGACTGACAAATGTTAATATTAATATTCACTTAACTTGTGGCTACTGTTTTGTTCTAAAAAAGAGGAGAAATAAGCAATTGTAGCCCAAAAAAACGGGGTTTGCTTAATTTTGGTACCTGTGTTAACTTCCATGTATTTGGAGTACAAAGTGCAGCCTTTATTTAAAACATAAACTTTGCCTTTTTTCTCAGATGGAAAACTCTATAGCCTTAAAACTACCAATGATGTTAAAAAATAAGCAAATAAAACCTGCCAAACATCTGTTCACTGTTAATGTGCCTCAATTTTTTTGTGACCAAAATGTAGGAACTCCTGGTTTTAGATCTTTTCAATTAGTTAATGATAACCAACACCATAAAAGCACTTATTTTCAGAAGCATTAGAAGAAGGTAACGTCGTTAAATGGAGCTGACATCTGAATGTGCCGAGACAGAAAACCACAAGTTTCTGTTTGTCTTTTTTTTTATTTTATTTCAGAATTAATTGTTTACTAAAATGATCAGAAGCTAAGGCATTGTATGTTTTTACAGTAAATGAGTCAAATGTTATGATTCTGCTAAAGCTCTAATAAATTTGTGTGAATGACTTTGTTGCATTTTTCTTTCAAATAATTTCCATGCATGCAATGGAAAAATAATAATTAAATCCAGGATGGAATTGATTGGTGTTGCCTCACATTCAGATATGATTTTTGCAGGGGCTATTTGTTTTCAACCCATTAGTGTTTTTGACAAAAAGTTTCAAAGTAATTTTACTGAGCAAATTGCAAAGGAGAGACTTTTATCATTTGCCTCTAAATAACAGATGTACCTAGATAGTAGGGTCAGTTTTCACATTCACACATGGAAAGAGAAAATCACATATGTTCAAGTATGGTCACACCCTTGTTGGTACGTTCATATAAATTTATTATATCCATAGTGACTAAATATTGCAGATGCTTATTTGTCTAAACCCAATGATTAAATCATAAATTCCTCTAAGTTGCAGCAAATGCATGCATTAAAATGCATGTTTTAGGAAAAGATGTGTATAAAAATGTATCTGAGTGGTAATTGTTTAGCACACTCTTATTTAATTTGAATCATGAACATGTATTGTTTATTGATGTTCCAAAGGGAGTCATGCAAATATTTTCAACCTTGTTGTATTAAACATTATGTAAACAGGTAAAATGAGTAATAAGTTGTTGTCTAACACAAGATAAATTCCTAAACATTTTAATTTTAACCATTAAAAAAAAGGTTACATTCCAATAGTACAAGCTGACTGAACAGCACCCCCTGCTGGATAAAAAAGTAACAACTAGTTATACAAAGAAGGATAAGAT